ATTAAAAAGAAAGAAAAAATTGTGATCGAAAAATGCTGACTGATGAACCGACGGACCCACCCAATCAGAATCAACGACAACACTTTAAAGACGGTGCGTTTTAACTGACGCGGGCATAACTGTTAAATAAATTGTAAGTTATCCAAGATCCGGACCGGATGGGCCTCCCCAGTCTCATAAAATCCATTCCTTAGCAAAAGTTGGAAAAGTCGGCCTGGATTGTAGGTAAACTTTGTGCATGAACAAAATTAAATTTTGTGCATATATTGCATATATAAGACAAAATAAAATGAGAAGTAATTGGGAATTGATTACCTTAAAAAATTAACATTATATTAAGAACATCTTCTCAGTAATCCTTTCTTCTTTTTTTTTCCTTCTTTTTTCCTCCTTCCTTTTTTTTGTTTATCTATATTATATTTTGTTCTCTAAGTGTGGAAAATGAAAGATTTTAATCTAGAATGAATATTTGAATATATTTATAATTTTATTTTTACAAGTATAACGGATTTAATAATGACTTTATAAGAGAAAAGCATAGTCAATATAGTTGCATATGTATGTTTTTTTTTTTTCAAAGGAAGAGATTATATTTGCATATCGTTATGGCATGATCATTATAGATTTTTATTCAGGTTTATATTTATATATTATCAGTATATAATATCTATACATTATTAATGAACTAAGGGCACCTTAATTTGTTTATATATAAGTTCCCTTTATTACCTCATTCTATTCATTTTTAAAATATGAAATAATTATGCTCTAGAATGGTCATTCTTTAAAAATACGGAATAATTAATACCAAAATTTTCATGTAATTAGCTATTCCAAATTTCATGGAATATGGTCAAATAGTTATGGACAAAACAGCCTAACTTGCTATGTGAAATTGTTAACTTTACCATATAAAATATCATATTAATATTTTAATAATAATTTATTGAACTAATAATTTATTAACAAAATTTTAATAAAAAAGAAATTGAAAAGAGAAAAAAAAGCAAAAATGAAAATAAAGAAGAAATAAATAGAAATTAAAATAAAATTCACATTAATATTTTAACAATATATTATTCAATTAAATATTTTTTAATATTTAAAAAAAGAAATTGAGAGGGAAAATAATGAAAATAAAAATAGAGAAAAACTAAAACCAATTTAACATAAAATATTATAATAAATTTAGACAATATATCATTACATTGTTAATATTTGTATAATATTTTATTAAAAAACAAATTAAAAGAGAAAAACTGGAGAAATGAAAATAGAAAAGAAATTAAAAATTATATTAATATTTTAATATTAACCTTTAATGTTTCAATAATAAATTATTGATGTTTTAATGATAATGTATTAAATTATTATTTAACAATAACATTGCCAACAATAATAAGTTTCAAAAACCTTAAAAAGTTTATTAAATTATATCAAGTAATAGATGAAAAAAAAATTATTCTTTTGTAAATGAGCTGAAGGATCATACCCCAACTTGTTAGATTGAGTAACTATAAAATATTTTTATAACTTCATTTTTTTTTTTAAAGTAGAGTTTCATCATTGACAGGTCATTACCGGACCAATGAAGACAAAATATTATAGAAAAAGCCAACTAAAAATCAACATCACAGGAAGGACGTAACTCCCTTGGGTGTCCTGCTGCACAAAGCGCACACACAGAGTACAAGGGTATATTCAGAAATTTTTTTAATGATGTCTTAATTAAGATAATAATAATTAATTTTTTAATCAAATGTAATATAATTTTAGTTAAAAAATTATTAAGTACCATATTTAGTAAAATTATGTTATTGTTGCTCAAGACTTAATCTTATGGAACAATTTTTTGTATTTTTAAATATTTTTTTGTGATTTATTTATCTAAAAAACTATTAAAAATCATTACTCATTTCTCATCACATAAACTAAAATATTAGAATTAAATGAATGTGATATTACATTGTAAATTATCAGGTTCAACAATTAACAACTTAACAAATTTTTATTTATTGATCATAACTAAATATAAACATCCACAAATATATAAAGTTAAATAAAAAAAATCAAATAATCAAATAGTATATTTACAAAATGAATATACAAAATAAAAAATTATAATTTTGAGATATTATTTGACATGCACTACTATTTTCTGTTAATTAAATTCTGTTCAGGTCTCAAATTAACAAAAAAAATATTTAAAAGTATTTAAAAATTTAATTTAATTTAAATTAAAAATTACTTACAATTGAAGTTTAAATGAATTATTTTAAGAAAATTAAAAATGTATCTAAGGACTGAGAAAAGAAAGCAAGTCTCAAAAGTAGAACTTAAAATTTTCAGAGAGGGGAGTAATTTAAGTTTTGACTTTTTAATAAAATTTTAAATTATAGAAAAAAATTTATCTTTTAAGTACTTAAATATTAATATATAAATTACCTTTTGATAAATTTACTTTGATTTAGAATATTTGACCCCGCTTCTTACAAAATTGTAAAAA